GTGGTCTCGGCTGAGTGGAGGCAGCATTCCTGACTTCCACCTCTGGGTCTACCCAACAGCAGCCCCACCCTGGACTGTCCCCACCTGTCTCAGACACACCCAGTTCCTCTCCATCTGCCTTCCCGATTGTGCCACAGCACAAAGACCTTGCACTAGAAACTGGACCAAATGGGCGCAACTGTTCAGAGAAGGACTGTCAGAAGGTTATTGGAAAAGACAGTGATTTTCTCTGGGGAGAGGGGGTTTTTGTCATATTTGCTTGCCCAGCATCTATTCCCCCCCCTTTTTCCCTTCGGGACCTACCTCTCCTTCCCACCCATTCTCAGTTCACGTGAGTAGGTGCAACAGATCCATCCCCCAGCTCAAGAGATGGCCAGGTGGCCCAGGCCTGGTAGTCAGTCCATCCCATCCTCTCGGCCACACTGACTGGTAAGGAGACAGGCATGAAATCTAGGCTGGCTCAATGTGACTCAGTCCCAGGACTGTGACAGAAATTTTGGGGACAAGAATCTCACTTTATAATGTGGTTACCAATCTGGTAGGATGTTAGCCTGGAGCTGCTGGAAGCCTCACTAAGAGTAGAGTAGTCTGAGGGGAGAGTAGTCTGAGGGTAGAGGCTTGGGCAGAGAAAAGCAGAAAGGTGGAGAGATGGATTCCTGACGCTATCCCTTCGAGCACCTGATCCAGCGGTGCCTGAAGCAAGTGCCCTGGAAATTTTTACGAGTCAACAAATTCTTTTATACCTAAGACAATTTGAATTTCTGACAGTTTCCCAAGGAGGTGGCAAATGCTCTGAGCATTTAAGAAGAAGCTGGGTGGCTTTTCTTTGGATCTTTGCTGTGTAAAGAGTGGGAGGAAGCCCATCGATAATACCTAAAAGCTTATTGGAAATGCAGAGTCCTGACCTCGCCCCAGACCTATGAAATCAGAATCTGCATTTTGACAGGATCTCCTAGGTGATTTGTATGCACATCGCAGTTGGAGAAACAAGTCCCTGAAAATAATCCAAACTTCAGTAGAACCAGATGACCTTTAAGAATCTTCCCCCTCCTGGGCCCTCTGGCCGGTTTGTCTTTCCTCTGAGCTGCTGACAAGAAGAACTGGGGACAAAGCACCTCGGTGTGGGGGGCGAAGGGGGCAGGCAGAAAGGACATCACCGTGGCCGTATCTGACAGGTGAGGTTCACATTTTGGATTTTCATTTCTTCTTTTTGTGCTTTAAATGCTTATGGCTTCGGGATGAAGGGCCAGGAAAGGTGTGGGAAGGAGAGAGGGCAGGAGAAGTAGCCAGAGAAAGAAGAGTCCCCAGGACGTGGCTTCCTTAACTGAATTTTTTGTCTGCTCTCCTGAGGGAAAAACACATTCTTTTCGGTGATGCCCATAACAAAATCCCTGGCTGTCCTTTGCTGGGAGAGCAGACAGTGGAGGAAAGAGTGGCCTTCCCCCATTTCGGTGAGAGATGTGGGGAGGGTTGGGTGGGGGATGGGAAAGGGAGGCTGGCTATGTCCACTCTGCTTGGCAGGTAGTAGGTGCTCACAAGGGACATAGCAACCAAAAGCAGCGTGTGATCCTGGACCAGATAGACGTTGCCAGAAAGGGCATTATTGGAGAAATTGGATATGGACTGTAGGTTAGATGATAGTATTGTAACTATGTGAAATTTCTTGAATTTGTTAAGGTCCTGTGGTTATGTAAGGGGATGTCTTTTTCAGAGGAGACGTGATCATGTTTAAAGACAAACAGGGTTCAAATGTCCACAAGTCACTCTCAAACGGCTTAGCAAAATCATCATCATCATCTCATTATTATTAGTGTGTGTGTGTGTGTGTGTGTGTGTATGAGAGGGAGAGAGAGAGAGAGAATTAAAGGAGATTGTATTATATTCTCTACTTGGCTAAGCTAACACCATTGCCCAGAGCCCCCTTGCACGTATGGTTCTGAGTAAGCATTGGCCCAAAGTGCATTTGCCTGAGATCTGGAAGGCAGGGCGAAGCAGGAGCCATAACTCCGGGGGCCTCCAGAGTCAGATGCAGTACGAGACCGGAGTGCTGGCACACAGGCTGCAGGGGGCAGCCTTGTCCTGGCTGTCCCCTGCCCCGGGGCCCTGCTGACCAGCGGCTCCAGGCTGCCCGCCTCATATCCAGAGTTGGAAGCTCTCGGCCAGCAGCGGCCTTCTCTAGACGTTCCCCAGGGCCGTTACTTTAGTTGCAGCTTCCAGTGCAAAAGGCAAACGCGGGACCTCTTGTTCAACAAGTGGGGAAAAAAGTCCAATAAAGTACTAAAATATAAGGCTTTTCCTTCCTTCCACGGTCTTTCTCTCAGCTGGTCGTGGTGTTTTTAAATTTGCTATGTAATGTCCTTCTAGGTACAGGAAAATTTAAAATCTAAATCTTCAGCATACATTTTATTTTATTTTTTATTTTTTTAAAAGATTTTATTCATTTATTTGACAGAGAGAGACAGCGAGGGAGGGAACACAAGCAGGGGGAGTGGGAGAGGGAGAAGCAGGCCCGCCTCAGAGCAGGGAGTCCGATGAGGGGCTTAATCCCAGGACCCTGGGATCATGACCTGAGCCGAAGGCAGAGGCTTAATGACTGAGTCACCCAGGCACTCCCAGCATACATTTTATTGTTCATCTTTATACTATGCAAATGCCACTATAAGAGCATTTAATTCATGTGTGAATTACACAATACGTATTTCAAAACTTATATGTGCACGTGCATTCCGTTCTTTCCAGAACAGGAGAGACCCGCACAAAACTAAGTTGTTTTGATTTCACTTCTTGAGATGGGCACATTGTGCCCATACTCACTACTCCCACTTTCTGATGCTCGGGGAGAGTATGGGGTTCCATATCTTTCCTTTCCCTTCTAGGCCATCATTTTCAGTGTGAGTGGTTGGCTGGAATGCGGAACTCGAGTAAGAAAGCACTTAACAGGGTTCCTTGGGTGCCCAGTGTCTCTTAGAGCACCACAGACTGTTTCTGCATTGGAAGCAGGTTCTAAGAGTTGTGGCCTCTCAGAGCCCTGCTTCCCCGTGAAAACACCTCCCTTATGTAGCTCAGAGTCATTTTGTATTCACTCATTCCAGGACTTTTGGTAAACGCAGCTGTATCTTGCTGGATTTTTGAGCCCAAATCTCTCTCTCTCTGTTGGGGACAAAATAGTTTTGTGTGTATGTGTTGTTGTTCCAATGAAAGAGGCTATTGTGCCCCCACCCCAAAGAACTGAAGGTTTGACATCGTATATCATAGAACCTTTATTATTTTTCCTCTAAACTCTTAGAAACGTACATAACGCCCGTGCTCTAGTTATGACACCATTTATAGACATTTAAAATGCATCTTCATTTATAAATATTTTACATTTGGTCCATAGAACAGATAATTTTTCTAAATAATACTGTAATTTTTTTAAAACAGGCTCTGTATATAGTTTGAATATGTATATATTACATATATTTTTTTATATAGAGATAGATTTACTTGGTGTTCTGAGAATAAATCCTTATTGCAAAAAAAGCATATATGATAATACAATATCTTTTCCCCCAGGGCAAATACTAAAAAAGGTACACATATTCACAGTTCTCACTGGAATTGTACGACACGTAATATTGTGCTATATTAAGTAGGTTTGGATGGAAATCGGTTAGGGGATTTCTTGCCAAACATCTCGATTAGATTTGCATACAAACATTAAGTACACTGCATTTGTCTTAGAAAGACGTGGTCTTAGTTTCACATGGAAGAACAAAGAGAAAGTCAGAAGTCTTCCTGCCCTTATTCTAGAGGAGTTCACAGAGGATGTGGGGGTGGGACCATGAGACACAGTGAAGGGTTCCTTTCATTCTAAACCCTATAATTTAACAACACATATGCATTTTTGATCATGGATTCACCAGTTGGCATTAGGGATGCCTTAGCAATGAGACTATTTTACAGATGACCTCAGGAAAAGGTTTGAGATTTCCTACACGATATCAAATAAGACCCTATATACCACACGTGAGGATGAACGTATATGTGTGTGCCTTTATATGTGTACATGTACTTTATGTTTCTCTACAAGAATGTGCTTAATATTCTGAGGGTAATACCTTATTGCAAGAACGGGTATGCTGGTCACTGTCGGATGAGAATGACAAGAGATTAAAAAACCCACAGTCACAGTTATTTACCATAATTATTAAGGATTAGTTGTAAAACACAGTTTGTGAGCTAACTAGCTAAGGAGCTACGGGAACAACATACGATTTGCTACATGGGAAACCATCTTCCTGGCAAATGAGAAACGCTGAGTCACTGAAGCTTGCAAGAAACTGTCTTTGCCTGATCTGCCACCACCACCACCACCACCACCACGACCGCCACCGCCACCGCCACGGAGCCCAATTCCAGAAAGAAACAAATACTACTTCTTGATGAAGCAGTTTAATCTTGGAAGCACTTTGGGGGAGGGGGCGTGCAGGTGGTCTGGATTAACACTAGCTCCTCAGTTAGTGGGCTGGGGAGATTTTAGTGGCAGTGAGGGGGAGATTCCCGCTGAGGAATATGAACGAAGAAGGCAGCATTTTTGACTGGGGCGTCAGTGAGGACACAGCTGAAGGGGAAGCCGGAAAAAGAACTGCATCCATTTTGACTCAAGGACAGACAAACCTTCACCTTGATTTCCTCTGCACCTGATTTGTGCTCCATAAAACGGGGCAGCCTAAGAGAAACTGGGGCTCCTGATTAGGGAATTTCCCCAGCGGGATCTTAGGACCCCAGAATGGCAATAAAAAAAAAAAAATCAATTGTGCTTGCGGCAGTTTTCCAAGGAGGGCGTGAGGGAGCTGGGCTGTCTGGAATGACCGCTATTGGGCCAGGGGCAATCAGCATGGCCTGGCTAGGAGGGGGCAGGGGAGGGCGCTCTGCAGATTGCTGGAGACGCAGCAGCAGCTTCGGGGAGTACTGGTGGAGGTCCTTGGGGGTTGTTTTGTCAAGCTGCCTCGGGAAAGATAAACAAACAAACAAAAAAAATGAAAGTCAGAGCTCCGCGGGCTCCCTGCTACTTAAGAGTGAGCTCTCCCTGGAAATCCCCATTATACAGAATGCCCTTTTCATGTGTTCAGAGCAGCGTTCCGACGGAACCGAACTCCGGCAAAGTCTGAGATAAGAGTCATGAGTTTCGGCAGTAGGAGAACAGTCAGGAATATGACTAAAAGCCACGAGTGTGTGGCCTCACCGCATCACACTCGCTGGCAGGATAAAAATGATCTATCGCACAGTCACAGAGGCTGATTGCTTGATGCTTATGGGGCCCGCATTCAAAAGGTCACCAGCGCGCAGGTGCTGGAGCCATCGGGTATCTTTGCCCAGGGCGGAGCCCACTGGGGGTGACTGTCCCCCACCTCCCCTCTCTTTGCATGGTGATGGTGTCTGGACTCGCCACTCGAGGTAGGTTGAGATAGACGGTATCTTCAGACATCAAGTGGTGGTCATGTTCAGCCAGGTTGGGGGGTGAGAGTGTCGGGTCGGCAAGCCGCCAGACACCCCTAGATGTAGGCCTCTTTGCTGGCTGAGCCGCTGGCCTGGGGCTGCTCCGGACCGTTCTCTGGGCGAACGATGTCTTCGCTGGGCTGGATCATGACCTGGATGCGCTGTTGGGCACCAGGGAGAATTTGGGCTGGGAGGAGGGAGACTGGCCGCTCCGTTCCCCCACCTCTTTTCAGGTGTATCCTGCCTGTTCTGCCTTCAAAATGCACCCAGATTCTGGCCTCGTCCCCACACCCTCCACACACTCTGGCCCCCTCACTGCTCCTCACACATGTCAAACATGCACCTGCCTCAGGGCATTTGCACTTGCTGTGCCCTCTGAGACATCCTTCTTTTCAGATAATTACACAGCTGGATCTCGCTCAAGACCTCCTTAGGTCTTGGCTCAGTGTTACCTTCTCAACAAGGCCTCACTCAGCACTCCCTAAAACCCCTTTCTACTCTATTTTTCTCCAAGGTACTCAGCCCTATGTAACGTGTTTTTATTTTGTCGATTGTTGGTCTTCCTCTACTAGAATACAAGCCCCAGAAGGGTGGGATTTTTGCCTATTTTTCTCACGACTGTGTCTCTATTACCGAGAATACTGTCTGGCACATAGTAGGTATTCAGTACTATTTCCTGAATGGATGAATTTCCCCCTACCTTCTCTACACATAGTCCCTGAAATCCCATCCCTTCAGATCACGCACTGTCTTCAGATGTGTCCACTCCCGAGTCTTTGCACAGGCTGTGCTCCCCTCCTCAAATACACGGCCTTTGCCTCTCCTCCACTCCCAGACCTGACTTGACCGCCTTTTGCAGCTCAGCAGAGGATTGTGGAAAATGAAAGCATTGGGCCTGGAGCTGGAAGAAGGGGCTGCAAGCGTCAGCTCTCCTAGTAACTTATTGCAAGGGGTGGGGAAGTGGTTTCTCGCTTGACCTCAGTTTCTGAAAGGAGGAGGCTGGTCCAGGGGCTACACATGAACCCCCACCATGTTTTCCTTAGGCCACAGACCATAGAGCTCCCTCTTCTGGCTCTGATTGGTCTGGAAGGTCCATCTTAGTAGAAATAAGGTTGAGAACCACTGATCCAAGGCCTCCCAGCTGTGGCCCTCCATATTCTGATTGTCCACCTCTCCCCAGTGAAATCTTCTCAGCATACACTTGATCCATCAATGTCGCTAGCACCTGGGCACCTCCAGCACTGCCTTGTTTCACTTGAGAATTCGATAATAATTTAACAAAGAGCTGGTGTGGACCGAATATGCTAGTGGGCCTCTGCTGAGGGCAGCATGCCTTACATTATATTTCCTTGAGGGCAAGACCACGTTTCATCTTTATTAAGCCCACAAAAGGGGTCTAGGGTAAGCCCACAATACAATGGACCCAACCCTTCACCTGTTTCAAACCCCTGAGGCTCCACATTACCCTCAAGATAAAGTTAAGAGTTCTTGTCCTAATTTTCAAGGCCCTCCATGATCTGGCCTGACTTTCTTACATCCCCAACCTCATCTCTTATCACCCCTCTGCAGCCTTCTCCACTCTACCCTCCAGCCACAATGACCTCCTTTCAGTTCACCAAATGCTGTTCATACCCCTGGGCCTTTGCGCCTGCTTCCCATCCCCTTCTAGGAACATTCTTTCTGCTTCTACTTTTAACTCTGGCTCATCTTTAGGCTTCTTCTTAGCTATCCCCTCTTTTAAGAAGCCTTCCTTAACTCTCCTCAACCCAGGCAGGGCTAACCGATCTCCCTGGTTTACCCGAATCATGGCACTTCCAACATTCTGTTGCCATTGGATATTGAGTTGTCTGTTTCCTAACTAGACTGTGTGCTCCACAAGGTAGGGGCCATGCCCAGCACAGCAGAGGAAGGGGACTAGCAATCTGAAGGGGGAAGAAGGGACTTACCTGCTTCAGGGAGCCCTTTAAGGTGAGGAACATGTAGGCCATGTACCCAGGGATGAGGACCATGGAAGACAGAGCCATGAGCCAGCCCACGCCCTGGCCCCACTTGGGGAAAATGTAGTTTCCCATGGTGAGAGGAGTCATCTGCACAGCACTGAAAATGAACACACCCTGGGGAGGGGGGAGGGGGATGGGACACAGTCAGTCCCCCAGATTGGACAACCAAGGCCCCTTCCTAGACCCTGAAGCTGATAGGTCCACTCACCACCTCCCTTGCCGTGAGGCTGACCCTCAAAAGGGCCCTTGTGGGGGCCAACTAGCTGGATGACGCTGGCAGGGCGAGCCTGGGTCCCTCAGTGGTCCAATGGGGGCAAGAATGCCTATTCTGCTGAGGTTTTCGAAGATGATGTAATGTGTCTGGTGTCATGTGGGGCACAGAGTAGATGCTCAGCAAGTGGGATGGAGTAGTATTATTAGGGAATGGGCGCCTTTGCCTCCAGAAGTTTCTCTCTGGACCTGAGTCACCCCAGGGACTGGCCTGGCCTCATCCTAACAGGGCTGGTCAGGACTTGTCCTTACCGCTACAATGATTGGGGTGAAGAAGGACCAGCAGAGTTTCCACCAGATGCAGGGCCTGGAGCCAACCATCTCTTGGATGTTGTCATAGAATCGGTTAACACCTGTGACATTCAGAGTGAGAGCAGGAGGGATGAATGAGCTGTGGGCACTGCAGGCTCCAAGTCTCAATCTGCCACTTTTGGGCAGTATGACCACAGGCAAGTTACCTGGCCTCTAGGAGCTTCAGCCTTTTTGTAACATGGGGCTAAAGCTCTGGGGGGTCCTTGTTACCTAAGCATCAATAACCCCCAGCAAGTGGGTTGTGTGAGAAAGCCAGGCACCTCACATGAAAATATCCACCAACAAAGGATTATGCTCATAAAGGATGTCCTCACCTCTCCCAGTGTCCCTTCCACCCAACAGCTAGCCTAGCCATTCCTTCAAAGCTCTGTTGGACAGAGCGGGTTTCCCCACTGCTCTGATGCTATAAGCAACCGGTGACAGACTGCAAAGAACACCAAATCTTGCAAAACACCACAGGCGTCATGAAGTTCCCCAGACTGACATTAGGCATCACTCAGATTCTGAGCAAAGCCCCTGACCAGCGAGGAAGCCAGTTGTGGGAGAAGGGGGCTGACAAGGAGGGGGTGGCGAAGAAAGTACAGTGAATATCAAGACTAAGAGGGACCCAGGAAAACATTTCGAACACACGGTCTCGCTGGGATGGTGAAAGTGCAGGGAAGGACAACCTTTTGGCTATCATGCAGAGGGGTCTGGAACCTCAGGCCACAAAATAAACAAACGAAACCATCATTTCCTCCAGTCTTTGTTCTAAGGGAGTGCATGCTTTTCATCATAGCCCCACTTTTGTTAAATATTTCACTTTAGAACTTTTTCTTTTGTAGTTTTGGTGTCACTTTTCTAGATAAAATCTCAAACCCTCTTATCCCAAAATTTAGGATGAAATTTTGGCTCCCATTTTAAATGGATTTATTTAACCCGTCTTAAGGTGTCCCCTAAATACAAGACCCCCTGTGCTAGCTTTATCAGATTTCTGTGAGGACTGAATACAGTTGACCCTTGAACAATGTGGCAGCTAGGGGCTCTGACTCCCCCACCCCCACGCAGTCAAAAATCCACATATAACTTCTGACTCTCCAAAAACTTAACCACCAATAGCCTACTGCTGACTGGAAGCCTTACCCATACCAAACAATTGATTAATACATATTTCGTATGTTCTATGTATTTATATACTGTGTCTTGCAATAAAGTGAGCTAGAGAAAAGAAATGTTATTAACAAAATCTTAAGGAAGAGAAAATAATTTACAGTACTGTACTGTATCAAAATGAGTATCAAAAAATACTGTATTGTATTTATACACAGAACAAGTAGGGTGTGCTGTTCCAACCTGGGTCGTTCAAGGGTCAACTGTCAACTACTGTATAGGAAGGGCTTGGTGTTCAAGTTGTATCTGTTGAATGATGATTGAAGAAAGGAATGAATGAATGAATGAATGAATGAATGAATGAATGAATGAGGGAGGGAAGGAGGAAGGAGGGTTGACACTCACCGTAAAACCAGGAAATGGAGACACATTCGAAGAACACGAGGAACAGCAGGCTCATGCCGCTTGCAGAGTAGTAATCAAACAGTTTGAAGACATAGATGCCCCCCTAAAAGAGGAAAAGCTGTGAGAGGGGGTCCACTTCCCACCAGCGCCCAGGGCACTCAGTTCACAGCCAACGTGGGCTCTGCAGTCTGGCGAGGTAGGTGTGAGACAACACTGCAGCGAGGAGGCTTGAGGGAAGATTAAAAGAAGTATCGAGGGCCTAGTAAGTGGTGAGGGTGTGATCATCGACTCCCTGGGAATTGGGAAGAAGATGTCCGGGGAAGAGAAATGCTCCGTGTCTGGGAATGCTGGAGGACTGAGAGAGGAGCTGGTCATCAGAGCCATCTCTCCACAAAGTTAATCAGTTATGTCTTTCCCCTGCTTAAAACCTTCCATGGCTCTCAACATCAAAAAGTTGAGAGAATAAAATAAAATAAAATAAAATAAAATAAAATAAAATAAAATAAAATAAAACAAATAAAAAACAAAATCCAAATGGCTTTGGCTCATAAGTTCCTGCATGAACTGGTTCTGTCCCCCCTACCTATCTGCTCACTCCTTCTGCCCCTCAAACTTACCAAGCTCATGCATACCTCAGGGCCTTTGCACCTGCTCTGCTCATTTTCCCCTGGCTGTCTCTTCCTCATCATTTGAGTCTCAGCTCAAGTGCCACTTCCTCAGAGGGCCCTCTCCTGACTACTCTGTCTGAGGTAGCATCCCTCCTACCCTCATAGTCATTCCCTGTCCCACTACTGTCTTTTCTTCATGGCACTGAACACGCTCTGAAATGATTTAATTTGTCTGTCAGTCTTGTCCACCAAAGCATAAGCTCTAAGAGAGCAGATATTGTGTCTGTCCCATTAACTGCTGAATTTCCAGGACCATGACAGGCCCATGGTGAATGTTTTAACAGCCACGGAGGAATAAAAGGACAAAAGAACAATATTCTGGGAATGAACCGTATTTGAATCCAGGGGGTAGTTTTGTGGATCATAAAGCAGACCCACAGACCCACTGAGTTCATGGCTTTCAGGTCATTTATATTTATTGTACAATTCATCAGTTTATGTGTATGCCTTCTGACTAGACCAGGAGGGCCCTGAATGCAGAGAGGACTGCTCATTATCACCAAGAGTAAAAGAAAAGTGGGAGCAAGAAGAAGGGGCAGTGTCAATGCCAAAGGCCCAACCCCAGCTCGACTGTCTAACTAATTTGTGTGCATTTTTAAAAACTCAGTCCCTGTATCCCCTCCTCCCGGAAGCAGTCCCGGGTGCCCGAGGCTGAGTTAGGGGCTGTATTCTCCAGCTGTGTCTTATCTTTTCTAGCTCAGTGTCTGTGTCTCCCACCCTCCCAACACTGAGGACAGGGTCCCCATCTGCCTCACGGCTGTGTGTGCAGGGCTTGGCACACAGATGGTGCTCAAGGAACAGACAAAGGGTGGGATGGCACGAGGCTGGGGTGGAGAGGTGTGCCCGGTGCCTGGTGAGCTCACCTGGGTGATGTTGGAGAGGCCGATCAGGTAGGAGACGATGCAGACAGCCGCAATGAAGAGCTCCCTGCGGTTGCGGAGGAGCCTGGGGTACTCATCCACCAGGGCCGTGATAAAGCCCTCCACGGTGCAGAACTTCAAGGGGGACGAAGATCAGCTACGTGCGGCAGACGCCAGCCCCAACCCACCCAGGGCCTGACTCTGGGGCAAGACCAAAGGGCTCTGGCACTGTCGGGACAGCAGAGCCAAGGAAGCCCCAGGTTCCAGGCCTGATTCTGCCTCTGCCTCTCTCTGTGACCTCAGGAGAGCCCCTTCCCTCTGGACATCAGTTTCCCCATCTGGAAAATGGGGAAGGTGGCTGAGCTGATCCACCCTGAAGTCTCTCCTGTGGTGGAACAGTCTAGGGGTCTGAAACGCTGCCCTCTTCCTGGGGGCCTAAGCCAATGGCCAATGGCCTCCTCTCCCTGCTTGCTCCCAGACCAACAAGGCTGGGTGTCCTCACCTGGCTGTCAATGCCCAGCATCAGCAGCATCGAGAAGAAGAGGATGGCCCAGAGGGGAGAGATGGGGAGCTGGGTCACCGCCTCCGGGTACGCCAGGAACGCCAATCCAGGGCCTGTGGAGGGAAGGCCAAAACAGAAAGAGAAAAGGTACTGAGCACCCGCAGCGTACCAGCACACCACCCACTCTCTAAGCTGTATTGCATTTTACCTTCGGAGTAAACTTTCGGGTGAGTGTTGTCAGCACCCCCTTTCCTAGATGAAGATACAGAATGTGCGTGGGTGGGGGAGGCAGTAGTGTTGGGGCCAGGGTACCAGCGAGATGAAAGGAAGGACTGCAGTGGTTTGGTCCGTGGTGGGTGCAGGTGCAGAGAGGTGGCCAGATGGAGAGATACTTAGGAGGGGGAACAGGCAGGTCCTGATACTGGTCGGTTTATGGAGTGAAGGTGAAGGAAGCGTCCAGAATGATGCTGGGGCTGTCCTGGGTACAAGATGGGGGCACCCTTTGCTGTAGTGGGGAGCCCAGGGAAGGAGAAGGTTTAAAGAAGTCAGTTTGGGACATACTGTGTTTGAGTGTCTGGGTGGGGGTTAGCCAAGAGATGAAGGGAAACCTTGAAAGGTGAAGGAAAGAAATTGTAACCTCCCTGGGTCTGGCTCAGAAAAGGGTGGTGGTGGCTGGGGAATGCCAGAGAAACGAGCTGGCCCTTGTAGAGAAGATGAGGACATCAGTGGAGAAAGTTCCTTTCCACATGACCAGCACAGTTCTCCATGATGGGGAAGGGACAAGTCCCATTGCCTCCCCAAGCCCCAGGGCCTCTGCTGTGCACATAGTGGGTCCCTCATGTTCGCTGCTTTCCCCACTAAGCAGGGAGGCAGGGGTTGCCTGGGGCTTTCCTCGGACCCTGCAGCATTGATGACCGTGTGGTGAGCAGAGGGGGTACAGCCTGCTTGGTGAGAACATGTTTGGGACAAAAGCAAAGATTTAGGCACTTTGTGTCATGGTGGTGAGCATGTCTGAGTTGGAACAAGGTTTATATTCCAGGAGACAAGAGTCGGTCTTCTCCCTGCCAAAGGCAGGATTGTGCTGGAAGTGCCAGTATGGTCAGGTGATTAAGAGCCCAAGCTTTTTGATCAGCCAGGTCTGTGCTCAACTCCAGTTCCATCACCTCTCTAGCTTGGTGAACATGGTCCATGAGCCTCAGTTTCCTCACCTAGTAAATGGAATAAGAAAGCATGGACTCCATAGTTTTGGAAAGTTTCACCTAAAATGCTTCCTGCTCTGCCTGGCACCTCGTGATGCTCAGTGCCAGGGAGCCAACACACCACACTCATCCCTGTCTCAAGGCCTTTCTACTGGCTCTTCCTTCTGCCTGCACGCTCATCCTCTGGCTCCCGCTGGTGATGGCGGTAATGACCACAGATGCCCGCGTGCCACAGATGCCCCCTCCCACCCCGGGAGCCCTGGCCCTTCCACGTGTGGCGCTGACCTGAGGCTGCCACATCAGCAATGGACCTCTTGGTGACATGGGCCATGAAGCCCACGATGGAGAAAATGACAAATCCCGCGAACATACTGGTGCAGGAATTGATACAGCAGACAATGATGGAGTCCCTGCAGAGAAGAAAGGGTGGACTCAGCGAGGGTGAGGCTGGCAAGGAGGTGAGCTAGGAGCAGTGGTTAGCGAGGGGCAAGGGGCGGGGGCAGAAGAGGGTGCCTGGGAGCAGGGCTGCAGGGCAGGTGCCCCCACCCCATCCCAGGGAGGGGGGAACCGGAAGGAGTGGCCCGGAACTGACTTGGAATGAAGTTGAAAGCGGAGAAAGGCCACGGGGCGTGGTCTATAAGGGGAGTGGCCGCGGGTGGGCGTGGCGTTGGTGGGGCGTGGCCGGGAAGGAAGGGGCTCCTGGGCTCTCACCTGTAGACGTTGTTGTGGAAAGAGTTATAGCTCCCAAGAGCGATCAGGGATCCCAGACCCAGTCCGTAGGAGAAGAAGATCTGGGTTGCCGCATCCAGCCACACCTATAGGTAGAATGAACAAAAAATAGTCAAAATTATAATCATAGCCACAGTGCCCCAGGGCCCTTTACATGTGGTAATCAGCTGTACCTGGCAACCATATCAGTTTACATATGAGGTTAGAGATGTACAGTGACTTATCCTAAGGCTGGTAACTGGTGGCTCAGGTCGCAGGTGTGCTCTTAACTCAGCCGCTGGAGGCGGGGAGCCCGGGAAGGCCACTCACCTCGGAGTCAGACAGCTTGCGGAAGTTGGGTGTGATGTAGAAGAGGATACCCTCCTTGGCCCCAGGCAGCGTAACTCCACGGAAGAACAGGATGATCAGCATGATGTACGGGTAAGTGGCAGAGAAGTAAACCACCTGGGAGGAAAATCGGCACCGATGCCCCCTGCAGCGCTCCCATTCTTTCCCTCCCCCCACTTCACTTACATCAGTGTCTGTTGTGGCCCTGGGCTTACTTCCAGTTCATCTTCCTCCAGGAAGCCTTCCCTGGATTCCTAACCAACTGTGTTTGTCCACTTTTTTGAAGCCTCTCCTTGGAGTCTTAACCAACCAGGTCAGCACCTGGTTTTTCCTTTCCCTTACCCCTCCTTTATTTTTTGACTTTTGTCTAAATTGTTCAAGTGAAACAGGGTGTGAGGAAAATTTTAAAGTTACACACACATACACACACACACACTTAAAAGTTCCCTTCAGTCACCCCTAGAATTTAAGTTAGGTGAAGGGGAGGGCTTGTCTTGTTCACTTCTGTTTTCCCAGCATCTAGAACAATCCACGGTTTATAGGAGACACTGGATAAATGCCTAATACATAAATGCACGGATGTTAACACATTAATGTTCCTCTTTGGAGACTGTGCAATGCATGTTTGATCACATTTTCTTACAAAATCATGCTCCAATTATGTGCTTGCTTTTTCGTTTAACATGTCTAAGATTTAAAAAAAAGCAGTGCCTACTTTGTTTACTAACCATTGTTTTATTGTCTCATAACAATGTGATTTTTAATTATGCAAAATAGTCCCTCAGGAGGTTCTACCATCCTCTTTAAAGTCTCCCCTACTGTTATCCATTCATGTGAATCTCACTAATAATACATTGGAAACCCCTGTGTATAAAACTTTGTCTACAAAATTATTATACCATTCTCAGGAAAATTTTCTAGAAGTAGAATTACTGACTAAAAGGGGATAAAATTCTCAATGGCTTGTGATCCATATTTCCCAATTACCTTCCAGAAACGGAACGTTGTCCAGCATTTCAGAGCATACCTTCCCCACAAAGGTACCAGCAGTGATATAATCATTAAAAATATATTTTTTTGCCAAATTGATAATCAAAAGACTGATGTCATTGTCTGAAATGACATTTCTTTGCCCGCTGTTGTGAAAGAGCAGTTTTCAAGCCAATAACCCTTGTTATCTCACAGTCTGATGTGACCCTATTTTCTGGACAGCATGAACTGTTCTCTGGGTTAGTTTCATTTCCCTGAATGCATCTTAGATTCTTCAGGGTTAGGAAAGGTAGCCATGATCCACCAGAAAACCCACTGTACTTGGAATTAGGAAAAGGGAATTTGAAGTCATCTGTGGCATCTATAAGCTGTACAATGTTGGGTCAATTTCTTATCCTCCCTGAGCCTTGACTTTTCTGGTCTGGAAAATAGGTACAATCAATCTGCCGACTCAGAAAGGTCAGTTGTATGTATGTATACAACATGCTTAATATATATTGCCTAGGTCTTGCACTTGAATCTGCCTTCCACATTTAGCATGGAGCCAGGTACACAGTAGGTGCTCAGTAAATGTTTACTGATGGCTTGGCTGACTTACTCAAAAGACAATTGATACCATGTATTGTCTACCTACTAGATGCTAGGCATATGCTACATACTCTGCATAGATTATTCTCCTTAGTCTTTATGACAACCCTGTAAGGTACTATTATTGTACCCATTTAACAGATGAGGAGATGGAGACACAGAGAGGTGAAATGACTTGCCCAAGCACACATAGCTAGGTATCGGGAGATTGAGATTTAAGCTCAGCTCTATCTCTTCCAGAACCCTTAGATTCTTACATTCTTACATTCTTCTGCTTCTTAAAGTTGGGCTGGGAGACACCTGTGCCCTCCTCCTGCATGCTTAACCTAGGGATGCGTCAGAGAGGTTTTGACACCGGCTTTGGATCTGAGACCTGGTAGGTCCAAAGGTCCCACCAGACTCGAATTGGGCAGTTTTTCATCAGCCATACTCATGTCCAAGTATGGAATTCGTGAAGGTTCTGTTTTGCTCATGTCAGCTTGGGTAGTCCGGACCTCCTTGCTCCAGCATGATTCAGTTCAAATCCCTTTTCTCCCTTACTTGCTGTCAGAACTCAGACAGGCAGGGTCCAGTGAGAGCCTGGGCTATCTTCTATCCCGGGACCCCTAGGGCGGCGCTTTAAGGGAAAAAGTGTGGGAGTGAGGCCAGTCCCCTTCCCAACTTGATTGGCAAGCTCCCCAGATGTCCTCAGGCTGGGCCCCCCCAGCTTGACCTAGCTCTGCCCTTGCTGATAATAAAAACAAAAACAAGTACAATTCCTCTTGGTAGCTGCTGAGGGCTTTACAAAATCACCATCCCATTTGATTCTCCTGACAAACCAACAGATAAGCCCCATTTTTCAGAGGAGGAAACTGAGTTTCAGAGAGGTGAAGTGATCTGCCTGATGTCACCTAGCCAAGTCACCAGCCGAGTTGGGATCCGAACTCAGGACTATTTCAGTACAAAGGCTGAATATTTAACCATTCATTGATCCATCTCTGTTTCTCCTCCAAGGCTGGGATGTGGAATATTCATCTCTGGATCACCCTAGAACAAGGCTTGGTACAGTGGAAATGCTCAGGGACAGACAGTTTGCTCAATGGTCCTTGAGCAAAGTTTACCATCTGTTTTGTGATGGCTCTGTGTAACTGACTTACATTTTCATATTCCATCCTCACACTGCCCAGAAGGTAGGTAATGTTATTATTCCCATTTTATAGGAAAGAAAACCAAGGCAGGGAGAGATGCAGGGACCTGCTGTTCTCTAGGTTCGGCGGGGTTCCTGGAAGTGCAGACTCCTGTGTGGGGCGGAAATCCCCTTGTAGACCCATCCCCTTCTGGTCCCCACTGTGCACATGCCTTACCTTTCCAGTCCAGCCAACACCCTTCCAGATACAGAAATACACAAGGATCCAGGCGATGGCCAGGGTGATGGCCAGAGGCCAGCGGATCTGTCCTGGCTTATCCAGCCCGTCTGTCATCTGATGCATGTTCCGCCTGGTGGAACAGTGGAGGGAGCAGAAAGTCACATGGGGCTGGTGGGAGCTGGAGTGGCCTGGGGGTGCCCAGGGAATGATACCTCCGCCGTGACTGTGCTGACATCTGTGATCACTGAGACACAGGAGCTGGCAGGAGACTGTGGGGTCCATTATACTAACCGGTAGAAAGTGCTGTTTGCTCAAGGGACCTGCCGGTGCCTTATTTTGGCCACGACTATTGCTCACCTGTTTGGCTGCAGTACCTCCTAGCAGGACCCTCACCTTCACTTTTGCTCTATCCCTACTCCAGCCCCAGGGACCCTTCTAAATGATATGTCTGATCGTGTCACCCTCCTGCTTAAAACCCTGCAGTGAATAGCTCCCTCCTGTCCTCGGAATGAAGGCCAACCACCCCAGGCCCACCTTGCAAGGCCCTCTGAGCTGGCCCTGCTTCTCTCTCCAGTCTCAGCTCATCCCCTCACCCACGCCTGGCTTGCTCTCACCTGCCTCCAAGCCTTCATGCATTCTCTTCCTCCTGCTGACACCTGTCTCTCCCACATGGTTTTCACCTTAGATGTCACTCCTCCCCTGGGCTCGTCCGGGTACCAACTTGGGGCCCCTAGAGCACCCCGTGCATCCCCTCCTCTTAGCACTGGTCATCTGGCGTTGCCACTCTGCCTGTTTGCTTATATTTGCCATGTCTCTAACCAGACTGCACATAGTAGGTGCTCAAGAAACGTTTACTGACTAAATGGTTCAAGGCAATCCTAAAGGTGTGTGAGAGAATTCTATGTGGCAGATGCTGGAAAGAAGAAGCAGCCGGAGAAGAATCTGATTTTTATTTGTAAGGAGACTGCCTAGCCAAGGACATTTCTGCACAAAGAGACTCACATCATGTGTTCTGATGCCTCCTGCGCACAGTTCCTCCTGGCAGCTTATGCGAGGTGCAGTGGAACCTTCCAGGGTGCTCCCAGACCCTTTTAAGCTGCCCAGCACAGATGCCTCCTTCATGCCAGAGAGACTTGGATCCTAAGACCTCTTTTTGTAAAATCAATACCCCAACGCACATCTATGTGCTCTTCTGAAGATCCAATCAGCGCAGCCTTCGCTATGAACCGTGTGTGCGCGCGCGTGCGCGCACGCGCGCCTTTATTCCAAACAACTCTGGGTTTCTAAGTAGACTGGACTGGTTTTCCAGATGAGCTGGGATTTTGTTGGCCTGTCCTGGCGATCCTTCTTGGCCTGTGCTGGTTACCCCCCTCCAGAGGCGCACCGTCTACCCCTGTCCACCCTGCTCCATGCCCAGGAGGCTGGCGGCTGGCGCTACCTCCCTGGCTCCCTGGCCCTCTGGTTTCTAACTAGGTTTGACCAACAGCAGGAGCCACTGGGCAGGAGGAGTGAGAAGGCAGGAATGCATTCTCTCCAGCTTGTGCCTAGTGGCCCTTTCCACGGCCCAGCTCTCTACGGGGGAGGGGAGGGCTTCACTCTCTCGTTTCTTCCTTAGCCCTGTGCACCGCACCAGCTCCCATCATCCTTTTGAGGGTGCCTCTGTCTCCTGCTGGCGCTAGCTGACAGGCACCCCCCACCACTGACGGCCCGACACTTACTCCCAGAACTCGACCACGGCGCTGGTCATGTTGGTGGTGTTGACGATGCTGTAGTTGGAGAAGCAGCGGTCCGTGTTCCAGGGGTTGTCACACTGTTTCCACGGCAGCGTCTGCAAAGGCACAGGGGCACAGACAAGCCCTGTTGAGCCCCCAGGGGATGGCAACAGTGGTCCCAGGGCACTTTGTCCATCCTCACGGTCCCCTGCGCCTCTTTCAAGCCATCCGTGATCTCACGGCCCCTTCCCAACAGCTCCCAGATGCAGGTCATGTTGAGATGCCCATTGTGGAGATCAGAGAGGGGCAGCCACTTGCTCGAGATCACACAGCTCCTAAGTGTCAGAACCGAACTGTGAACCTTGATCGTTTCACTCTGAAAACCAGCTTCCCAAGCTGTGCCATAAGGTCTCGTGTGTTCGTCCCAGGGCCACTTCCCAGCTCTGTGACCTCGGGTAAGAGATCTTGCCTGTTTGACCCTCTGCACACTGAAGTTAACAGTGACCACTGAACAGTGCTTGTTCTTTGCAAGGTACAGTGCTAAGTAAACCCTTTACACATATTTACTCCTTAATCCTCACAACAACTCTATGAGGCACGTTTCATTTTTACTTTCATTTTATTAATAAGGGCACTGTGGCTCAGAGAGGTTAAGCCTCTTTCCCAAAGTTGCACAGCTGGTATATACTGGGGTCAAGATTTGAACCCAGGCAGTCCGAGTCCATATGAAATGAGCTAACAACAGCCCCTGTAAGAGGGCGTGTCAGGAGGATTAGATATCAGCCTATACGAAGCACCTGGCTCAGTGGCAGGCCCGGAGCAGGTGCTTGGTTCACGGTGCTATGACTTGTGGGGAGACAGGGGCTGCTGAAGACACACCATGTCCCCGATCCCTGCCCAACCCCCGCCAACCCAAGGAACAGCCCTATCAGCAGAATGGTAGTCCAGCAGAAGGACGGTGGGCTCTGGGTCTGGCTCCTTCTGGAGGGGGTCAAAGGGGCCACTCACTGTGGTGAAGGAATTGTACAGGTAGTAGATGGCCCAGGAGATGATAACGATGTAGTAGATGTTCAGCCAGAATGACAGCACGGCAGCGGCAAGGCCCACACCTGGGAGCAGGCACGGCATCATGATATTGGTCTAAGAGAGCAGTAATAATAACTATCCCAGGGAGCGTCATTCTTATCATTTTCCATGATGTCCACCAGCTCACTGGACCTTGGAGACAGGTGTTATTGAGGCACTGAGGCTAAGAGAGAGGGAGGAACTTACCTAAGGTCACACACATCTGGCAAGGGAGGACTTGGGTCTGGGGCCCAGCACTGGCTGGTTGCAGGTGGGGCGGGGGTCTTGGCTTGCCAGGCAAGAATAATTCTCCATGTATCCATCTGAGGGTCTGTCAGGCACTGAGCAAGGAAGCGAAGAAAGTCGTACCCGGCCCTGGCTGGGGAAATGAACTCACAGGACAGGGTAGGCTGATGTGTACGGGGTCTCTGGACTGGGGCCTCCTGTCCACCTCTGCTGCCCTAGATCCTAGCCAGGGCTGCCGTCTGCCACCTGGCCCCTCCGAGGGTTCCACTCTGCACAGAAGTGAACCAAGCATGTCCCTCTCTCCAGTGGGGCCGAGAGTGTCAGGAAGGCCCTGGTTTCATCATAGCTCTGTGGGCAGGAGCACTGCCACTCTGCAGACTTACCCTTGAACATGGGGGCCAGCTTCCACACCCCCAGGCCCCCGATGGATGTGTACTGGCCCAGGGAGCACTCCAGCAGGAAGAGTGGGACCCCGGCAAAGATGAGTGTCAGGAAGTAGGGGATCAGGAAGGCCCCTGTGGGGTTGAGAAGAGAGATGCTCATGGTCCCAAGGCTTTGGAGAAGCCCCATTCAGAGGGAGCACCATGGCAGGGCGTTCTGGGGGTCCCAGCCATAATTTCCCTACACTCTGCCTTCAAAGTGGCACCCACAGCCAAAATGAGGTCCAAGGATGTCCTTTGCTCAAACTACATCCCTTGTTCTTTGCAAAATGATGAGGTGAAATTTTGGTATCATTAACAAAGGACAATCGTCCTTTGGGAATCTTTTGGTAAAGGGACAAAGACAGGAAACGGGGCCGGGTCTTTAGGGGGCCCCTTCCCCTAAGGTGGCCCCAGAAAATGCCCAAGTGTGACACTCTTCAAGGGGTCCAGACACAGCTGGGAGGTTGCCTGGCCAGCACCTACCACCACCGTTTTTGCCGCAGAGATAGGGGAATCTCCAGACGTTGCCCAGGCCAATGGCGTAGCCCACACAGGACATGAGGAAGTCAAAGCGGCCCTTCCACGTGTCCCGGTCCGGAAGGTCCGCCGCCTTCTTCTGCACCTTGACCACCAGAGTTTTGGGCTTGTCATTGGCCACGGGGGCCTCGCTGACCTCCGTGGAGATCTGCCCATCAGCCATCTTGCTGCCATTGGTCGCCATGTCTCGGAGTTTGGACACAGAGGTCCTGGCAGATGGACGTGTGATGTCGGCCCCGGTCCACGCAGACAGCAGGTTTGCGGCTCAAGGTCACCCTAGGAGAACAGAGGGGTGGGGTGACAGGCACGGAAGGGTGGCCAAATCCTGGAGTTGCCCCAAAATAACAAAAATAAAAGGACCACAAACAAACTAGGGGCCAGAGAAGGCTCTCTCATCAGCTGTCTTTCTCCTGGAGGAAGGATGGTGCCTTCTGTTTCCAGACTTGTGTGTGGGGGATGTGGTGGGTTGACAGCTCCTGAACTAGCTTCAAACCTGCAAATCTGTGTCATGTGCCCTCTCTTACGTGTCTTGCTCAGAGAAGAAAACTGAGGAGACCAAATTTCCAGACAGAAATATTAAGTGTTCCTCATCTTTGCCTCTTGGAGTGCAATTAGATTTTTCATACCCTGAGGCCATAGTAACCACGGCCACTGTAAGCCATGGAAGAGCTTATCGTGGGGCCAACAGGGCGGTGACCCGGCGACAGGTGGTAGATGAGCACAGACTCTAATCATGATCGAAGTCCTCTTTCACATTTGAGCTGTGACTTTGAGAAAACTTCTTAACCTCTCTGGGCCCTGCTCTCCCTATCTTTTTTTTTTTTTTTAAGATTTTATTTATGGAAGAAGGAGAGAAGGAGGGAGAAGCAGACTCCCTGCTGAGCAGGGAGCCGCACGCAGGGCTTGATCCCGGGACGCCAGGATCATGACCTGAGCCGAAGGCAGAGGCTTAACTCTCCCCCCCCCTTTTTTTTTTTTAGATTTTATTTATTTATTTGACAGAGAGACACAGCGAGAGAGGGAACACAAGCAGGGGGAGTGGGGGAGGGAGAAGCAGGCTTCCCACTGAGCAGGGAGCCTGATGTGGGGCTCGATCCCAGCACCCTGGGATCATGACCTGAGCCGAAGGCAGCCGCTTAACGACTGAGCCACCCAGGCGCCCCTAACTCTCCCTATCTTTTAAATTGAGTATGATAATAGTATGTCAGGTTGTGGTTCTTCACTTATTCAGCAAGGATTCTGTGCCTGGCAAATGGTGGGGACTTGTTACTATTTTGTCAGCAGTCCCCAAGCCTGGCTTGCTTCCAAGTTGTTTGCAAAGCTCTATAACGATAGAGTCCCAGGTCCCACCCAGATGTCCCACATCAGAATCTCAAGGAGATGAGTCCTGAATCTATGCATTTAACCAATTCTGCAAAAGGAGGCCCTTATGCTGGGAGCCAGTCCCAGCCCTCAGCTGAAGAAGGACCACTGGTTTACATGACCTCTCTGAACCAAGATATTTCACCTACACTACTCTGCTTGCCTCTTTAGTTCCAGAGGCAGCATGGAGTAGAGAACTGTGTATGACATCGGACTCAGCCCAGCCCTGGTCTTCAAATCTCCAGTCTGCCTTTTACAAGCTGAGTGACCCTAAGTCCCACTCTTGATTGTTCTCGCCTCAGTTTTTCCATCTATAAAATGGCAGTAATCTTATCTGGCTTGTATAACTGTGGCGAAAATAAGCTTTCATGGCTGTATGGGTATTTTTCACCTGACTGGTTTAGAAAGAGAATTCCACACATGGTTGTGATCATTTTGGTTGTGGATGTTACCTGATGATTTTCAGCTCCAGAGCAGCTCCCTCTGCCACCCCTGGGTGCAAGCCTGCAAAGCAGAGATGAGGAGGGACCTCAGTGAGCTGGCAGGCGGTGGCTAACGGGCAGCCCTGGGCAGAGAGCAGCAGGGGAGCAGGAAGCCCATGGGAGCCCCCCAGCCGGGTGACCATATGAGTCCACGCCATGTGGTTCCAGGAACATGCGAGAAGGGGCCCTCTCAGTTCAGCTGTGTGGGTGGGCATGAGGGCAATGTGAGGAGAGCATTCCATCATTTTATCAGAAGGAAAAGAGAACTCAACAGAGGGGCCAAAGCCCCTCAGGGCCCAACTGGGAGCCAACAAAGGCAGCTGCGATTTTTCTCTATCCCCTAACCAAACATGCAGAAATGTTGTAAAAGGCCATGTAAGCAAACCTCAGAATAATTTATTTAGTATGATCCTGTTTTTGCCCACATCCCCAATCTATTTGTTAAAAAAAAAAAGAAAACCCTCCAAAACCCTAAGGATATATCTTAAGGCATTCACAGTGATTCGTCTATATGTGACTTTTGTTTCCTTTTTTGCACTTTTCTGGATTTTTATAATTTCTAAATTTCTACAAAAAATTTAAATTAATCAAATAACACAGAATAAACTTATGGAACCCTCAGAGCAAACAGGACTGTGTGAAACAACGGTCTGGGTACTCTGAGATGTAGGAGCAGAGCCAAAGTAGTGTGTGGCCCCAAATGGCCTCCTCCTTCAGCTCGGCCCCACTGGGGGAACCCTGATTGCTGTGCACTCGCCTTCCAGCCGCTCACATGCAGTCCTCATCACCGAACACCATTGTCTCTCCCTAGAGTTCACAGAAAACCAGACTACCTTCGGACAATCCAAACCTTACTGCCAACCCTGTTTCTTGTTCTTCAAGATGACCCACAGGTCATCTGGATGTCCATCTGGTTCCTGACTTGGGTCTGGCACCATCAGAAGGAACTCCAGATAGGGTAGGAAGGTAGGGTGACCTCCCATCATCAGGGATGATGGCCCATCTTGTGGTCTACCAGGAAGTCTTGGAATATGTAGCGGAGACAGCAGCCTTAGGAAAGGGTGTGTGCGGGTGGGGGTGGTTAGCCATTAACTGTCAAATCAATGATGACCTTAACTATCCCCATGACCTACCCTTGTGGGCTCCAGCCACCATGTTTGTTCAAAAGGATCCAATCACCTTGGACCAGGGCTGATCACCTGACTCTGGCTAGTCAATCAAAGCTCCTTCCCTGGGAATTTGGCATAAGGCTGAAAAAGATGGCCAGCCTGTCCAGGGAATTGGGAACTCTTAGGCAGCTCTCTTCTGCCCACCTGTACTCAGAGGAGCAGGGAGAGTTGGTCTGCTGAGGAGGAAAGAAATTAGAGGTCAAAAGATGGACAGTCTTGAAAGCATTTGTCTTTGCCATTCCAGGCTTTCTTAAGACTGGCTACATTCCAATGCTCAGAGTTTACAAAGATAGCATCCCCACCGTGGTAAAATAAAATTCTCCGTTTTTGCTCACGTTGGCGCAGGGGATGCCTGCTAAAGTCTTGAATCTCTGTTCTCTCACCACTTGACTAAGTTCTCAGGAAGGCTTGCAGCCCTATGGAAACAACAGTTTCTGGCCCCCGCTCTGGATATACTTGTTGCTTATCCGTGGAGAATCAAACCAAACTCCAAAATCTACTGTGCACTGGACCTCCGACTGCCCCACACCATGCAGGGAGAGACAGACGGACAGACAGCCAGGTGCAGCTCTGGCTCACTCCCAGCAAGCAGGCGAGATGGTAGGGCGTGTTTAAGGGGGTGAAACGTGGTGTGTGTGTCCTTTGAAGAAACCATTCAACATCAACACAGAGGAGAGGTGGAAGGTCGGGAGGAGGGAGAGTTCCACCCCTTCCCTGAGCACATTTAGCATCCCCCTCATGCAGGGGCTAGAGAGATCAGAGACCACGGCTGCTTGAAGAGCTCAGCATGAGGAAGGCACACGCGCTATCTTCGGAATACGGGAAAGATTCGGGCAGGTGCCTGTAACCGCCCTCTGAAGAGCCACAGAACCAGATGGAGCTTTCCTTTCAGAAGACAAAAATGGGAAGGTCACAGTATAAGGCCGCCAGCTCATACAACTGGTGCTTCCCTGGGGATTCCTACGGAGAAGCCCCCTGGGTTGCAAGGCAGTGAGAAGGTGCTACATCAGAGACCTTGGCTCCCCTTGAGATTTACTAGCGCTGGGCATGTTCCTCCCCCTTTGGATCCTCACGTGTAAAATGGGGAAATAATAAGAATCTTTCATTCACACGGTTGCGGTGAAGGATAAAAGAGATCACGCACGTGGAGCATCGTGCAGGAACACCCGGCTCGGAGCGAGGGCTCAGGGCATCCTCACCCTGATGATTGCCAGCTGTGTACGGATCGTGGTTCCTAACCTGGGAGGCACAGCGGTGATGACACCATTACGACTAACAGCAGCTAACGTTTATCGAGGGCTTATTAGCCAGGCCCTCCAGAGACTTGCAGCATTTTCAGAAGACCAATGGAAATTGTCCTTTTAGCCTCCATGGGGGAAAACTAGCTAATAAAAATTTCGAATCTCCCTGCTTTGGGCTCTCTGTATACCATCCCCTTGGGCCAGGCAGAAGCTGGGAGTGGTACATTTGTGTGTTTGTCAATAAAATAAAGGATTATTCCGTAATAAGTCAAGTCTGGCAGGAACAAAAGTCCGAAGCCTCTAGTAGACGGGACAAAAATGATCAAGGGATCCCCGTTAGTTAAAAGGCCTGGGACCCGGAGCTTACAGACAACACTTCCAGAAGCGGCCTTGCTCAAACACCCGAGGAGTAGCTGCTGACGAATTTTCATTCCTGACACCATCTGGTTAACCTGTTGCTTCCCTCTCTCACGAAAAACAGCACATGGAAAGCACAGGCACGTGCAAGTGCCCAGCCAAGGAATCTGGCTATCTTTCTAGAAAATGAATGATTTTGGAAGCAAGAGCCCCTGCTAGCCTTTCCTGGAGGCAGGATGTGCTCTGCCGGGCAGAGGCTGCCCCGGGTTGGAGGATGGCTCTGCGGGCCCACAGCAGAAGGACCTTCCATCTCTCCACCCCCTCGACAGTGCGGCCCTCCTCTACCTGCTGGCCGAGTGGGTCAAAAGGAATGCCTCTCACCGCTTCATGATTTGGGGCATTTTTCCAAGGCCTTCATCCAGAATCTTCTGGTTCTTCCTCGTCAGGTGACAATATTTGGCAGACCAAGGATCTGGCTACATGTTCCTCTGAGTCCTTTATCTTTCCCCATATTAACTGAATTCCACCGAAGCAACGTTCAAAAGGGCACAGTTCATGTGAGACCACAGTGACACATCCTCTGTATTCACTCACCTACTCATTCACTCCTTTCATTCATCAAGTATCTGCTCAGCATGCATTGTGTGCTGAAATACGGATGGAACAATCATTTCAAGCCCTTTGTATTCTGAACCAGAGTCTGAATCAGGGAAACTAACAGGAGC